TTGCTTCCAAAACTTCACAAAGACTAAATGGTTCCTCTAATTCCTTGTTAGCACTGTCGCTGATCTTTGGAAAATTAACTTTGAAAAAGCTATGCCCCACCTCACTCATCTCTGAGCAATTAGAAGAATAGAGCTGCCTGTAAAATTCTGCAAAACAGTCATTAATCTCTGTAGGATGCGTTACCAAATCCCCATTACGTACTCTTATTTGATGAATGGCACGGCTAGCCTGTGCCCCCTTCAGCTGACGAGCAAGAAGACAATCCGCTTTATCACTGAGTTCGAACTGATTCTGTTTAAGCTTCAGTAATAAATTAGAGACTTGATCACTCAAAATCGAATTGTATTCATATTTAAATGTTAAAATCGCAATGAGGTCAGATTGCACTTTAGACTGTCAAAAAACTTGTTCCAAGAAAGGAAGAATAGATTCGATCTCGGATAACCGCTTACGTCTTTCCTTCTTACGGGAAGATTCAAAAGCAATAATATGTCCTCTCATAACCAATTTCCAAGTTTCCCACAGACAGGAGTCAGACACTTCCCCATTATCATTAGTCTCTAAAAATTGACTCAACCGATCAGTCAAAAATGAGGAAAACTGTTTATCCGTTAGCAAGTGAGGATTAAAACACCAGCAATATTGGACCTTTGGTAAGGATAAACTTAAATTCAGCGAAACCGGGCTATGATCCGAAATTAAGATGTTATGATATTTTGAATGGACAACCCCCTGAATAAGTTTGGAGTCAATAATGAAGTAGTCGATACGAGAGTAGGATTTATGAACATGAGAAAAAAAAGAGTAATCCCGAACAGTGGGGTTCAACAGCCTCCACACATCCACAAAATTCATGGATTTAATTAGAGTTTAAAACCCTAACGGATTGAATAGTAGGAGGAACTTGAGACGAAGAGCGGTCAAGATAAGTATCTGAATAGCAATTAAAATCCCCAGCAATTATTACGTTAGTAGTACTGGTCTCTGGAATAAGCCCAAATAATCTCCTGAAAAAAACCGGATCATCCATGTTGGGCCCATTCACACTGACACACGTAATAGGAAAATTGTTAATATATCCCGACACAATAATATATCTACCAGCTGGATCCGTTATCACTGAATGTGAACGGAATTAAATTGATTTTTTGAAAAGAATTGCCACACCTCTTGCTTTAGAGGAAAAAGTGGCTTGATATACTTGAGAAATCCAATTTGCCCTAAAGCCTCGTACAGACCAGGACGATTATCGCGCACATTTATCGCCGACGTTTTTCGACGCATATTTTGTGTTCATACCAAGCGATTTTCGCTGGCGATGAGCCGAGTGAACGTGCAAATTCACTCCCTGACATTAGATGGCGCTTAATGAAAAACAGAAATACCCCGGTACACATCGAATCCTATTTGATCTGCAATTCCTCTCCATAACAACTCCCTCTTATCAAGATTTTTGTAGTCACTGTCGCGTTTGTCATAAAGCCCTTTGTGTTCAGACACCAATGAGACCAGCAGCTCTACATTCATCTTGCCTCAATGCATCTTCTTGGTCTACTTACTTCCTCTTCGTCGTTAGGTATCAGTGTGTGCTCGGCAAGACCGTTTTGTGCTTGAGCGCCACCAAGTCGTTTTTTACTGTAACTTCAGCAGCTCCAGGCACGTGAACAAAAGCACCAATCTCATTGGTCGGCCAGTTTTTAAAGCGGTGCGTCAAACCAAAAAAAACGAGCCCGAGGCGTTTTTAAAAAATTTACTCTTTTATGCCTCGCATTTTGCGCATTGGTGTGCACACTCACATTGGCGCCCTTTGTTTAGTCACGAGACGTTAAACGTCGGCGATAATCGCGCTATTCGTCCCAGTGTGAACAAGCCTTAAGTCGTAGCTGTTCATTAGGTGTAATATGGGTCTCCTGAAGAAAAATGATATCAGCCGATAAAGATTTTAAATGTGCAAACACTTTGCCACATTTTATCGGGTGCCCCATTCCTCGTAAATTACAACTGACAAAATTAATATTCATTCCCTCATTTTTTTAAACAATCATTAATATAACAATCAAACAGACATTCTCAGAAACCCACCCGGCTTAATTCAACAAGAACCTTTCAATACAATAAACAGTTGGTGCAACAAAGAACAGTTAAAGAACATTACCACTACTCCACACTTTGCGCCTACTTTTGTCTCTTTTAGAGGAAAACCAACACAACCCCAGGTATTTATTAAATACAGTGGCTATTCATTACATTTACATTACATTTTCTTTCATTAAAGATTTTTTTTCAAACAAGCCAAACATATGGGGGTCCCCTTGAACTTGGTAAAAAGAGTCTGTTTACCATTTTGACTGGAAAACACAATTTTCATTAAAATTAGCAAAAATAAATGAAAAATTGACAATGTTCACACCGGCTGGGAACCTCTCCTGGTTGGAGTTAGTATAAACATCATAATCTGAAAAGTATCTTTAGTGACTGAATTTTCAAATGTTTTAAAATTAATAATCCTAGTACAATATAATCCAGCAGGCCATATTTAAAGACACTGAGGTCCGTATGAGGTCCGCGGGCTGCCAGTTGCCCATCCCTGACTTACATGCTAACAAGCTTAACAACAGGTTGGTAAAAGTGTGATGAAGTAATGTTAGGAAAAATGTATCACAACAAACTTACTTGACTTACTAACAGACTAAACTTGATTTGGTAAACTTTAGCAACTAGTTACCTAAGGTTACGTTCATTTAAAAGCATTACATCGTTGGCATCAAATTTACCTCAGAATTGTTGATGTACGGTGAAAAGTTGCCCATGGAAAAGAAGAGGATGGCCTTATCTTGATTCTGATTGTTCAAAAGAAGTGAGGATGAGGATGAGGATGACACCCCCC